TTTTTTTCAAATCAAAATAGTGCAAAAGCACATGTCGAAAAAACACTTTATCGCGTTCCATTTTTCACAAAGCAAAAGAAATTGTTGTTTAGGAAAATAATTGTGTATGCTGACTGAATGTTATCGAGAAATGTCGAAATTAATCACAAACTACCTGTTTCGTTAGTAATGACTACTAGAACTGTTTGCATTGCCATCTAACATTTGCGGGCGGAAACTAAGTTAAGGTCCTAATATATTGAATGCCAGAGGTACGTAGAGAGTCGCAGATAAGAATATTGATACTATCGGAGTAAACATCCACACATTCGCGACACTCGCGATGTCTTCTCGTATTCTCTCTTGACACGGAAACTCGATGAGATATGTATTTCAGAGGAGGCTCTCGGATTTCCAGTGATACGAGGGAAGAGATAGCCGCTTGGACGCTCCTAATGCGCGCGAGGATAAGATCCCTCGAACCCTCCCGTCGTTCCACGTGCCTTTCTGTTCTGCTGGAACCTGGGGAGGTACGAGGGTGAGAGCGAAAGCCTCTGGGAAATACGTCTGACACGGTATACGCCGCGCTAATCCGTCTTGTTTTGTTTTATGCACCCCTCGCCCTCTCGAAAAGGTTCACGACGTTTTCGCGCACGAACATATTTTGACGCGATGTGTTGCGAGAAAAAGTGAGAAAAGAAGAGAACCGATATCTCATGCATACACCTTTATCAATTTTATGAGAGAGATGGGAGTGGCGGGTGAAATTCATGGCATGCTTCTTTGAAAGTCCGCATGAATCATGTCGCGCTGATACCGAAGTATTGCTAACGAGTTCTCGCAGGAAATAGCCGGTCCAGCTTGCTGAACAAACATGCTCGATCGATTCAATCAAAGTTTCTTTCGTCTGCCTCCTCCTGAAAATGAGAAGGGACGCCTGAGTCGAAGGTATTTTTTTTCTCGCGTGAGAGGAAATCTCTCGCGCGCCGGTAAATTGGAATTGTATCCCCCGTCTACAGAGACTAACTTGTTACTTGTCTTTATTAAAATCTCCGTACAAATAACTCGGTTAAAATTCCATGTTTATAATATTCTCGTTTTCTTCGCTCTCTGTTGAAAAAAAAATGCACAGAATTTCTTTATTTTTCAAAGTCTAATTGATACATAACGTTCGGAAAACTAGGTTCGTAATAATGTATAGCACGAGCTGCGTCTCTCTGGTCTGTAAATTAATGAATAACCGTAATATTTAATGAGAACTCACGATGCCTATTTTCGTCGAGAACATTTAGGTTACATCGCACTTCCATTTACTAATGAGAGAGAACCGGAAAATGGAAGAAAAAAAATGCGAATTATAACATGTGAAGAAACTCATTTATTCGGGAGTACATCGCAAGAAAGAATTACATCCGCTTTCTCGCTTCTGACGTCATATAATCCAATACGATTGCAATTTCTCGTCCAGAACATTAAATGCTTCGGGATACTTTGTCTTTTCGGTTGAGTAAATGGAGACAATTTATTTCACTTAATTTCCGGCCTTCTCTGAAAATAGCTGTTTTATCATGAATGAATACGCAGCCCGCCGTGAAAATGCGGATACACGTTGCGTAGCAAAGTAAAAAAAAGTGTAATATCTTTAATTAATGAAGAGAGTGGCGAAATCTGCTACATATGTATGTGTTAGAGGCAAGGCAGCAAATGTGCGCTCTTTGATTTTTAATTATGAGTTTTTCCTTATAATTAAAAATTTGGACAAGGAATCTAACAATTTAGAGGAGGAGTCTAAAAATTTAGACAAGGAGCCTTTTCTTATAATTAAAAATTTAGACACTCGCAAATGGAAATTTGCGAATGTCTAAATGTCTAAAAATTCTTTTATCTCAACCGTGCTTTGTGTCGCTCGATCATCAAAATCAAATTACGGTCACGCAAGAATATTTTCGCGAAACAGGCAACAATCAGTATAAGTACCATAAAAACGGTTTCCTATCTTGCAAGGAGTACGACAAGCGCAGAAACAATTTAAAAATCGCATTGTTGCAGACAAAGGCAAGGATTTGCTACACAAAGTAGTATCCATTATTGTCCCATTCAGTGTCCCCCATTTGATTACAGAAGTTTGGAAAGAAAGTGGGGAAATAGCGACGAATCCACTCCATATTTTTCTGATTTATGACATATCGCTTTCGGATAAAAAAATTATTATACGTGATAACATCGACCACGCACCTCGGACAAGATGATTTATCGTCGTCAACGTGTGACAGTAATGAATATAAATACGTCGATACTCTTCCATTCGTGTCTCTCACTTAAAATATCATCGTAGTCATTTAAAATATCTCGCTAGATTTCCAGATCAATCATAATTATCTCATTTGAATTTTAATATCAATTTTATTATAAATTTAAATATTTTCTTTATATAGTAAACATTAATTTTTTAAAATCACAAATTTTAAAGAGCTTCGTCATATAACGAACATGCGCAAATTTATATTCGTACTTTCTTTGAAAACGTCACATTTACTCGGAGGATATATACATTTCATATATTCGATCATGAGAAAATAGCGTCCGCTGTCGCTAAAACGCTGTAACTAACGAGCTAACGAAAATTCATCCAAGTTGCCGCGATCGGGAGAAATTAGATTTCCTCGTAGATAGGCATTCCGCGCGGGAATTAACTCGCCGTCGCGGAAGGAGACTGCGGTGACGATCTAAAGCGCGTCTTGATTACTTTCGCGAAGACTTGTCTCGCGAGTTCGTGACGCACGATTGCCCGTGTTAATTAGTTGTCATTCTTTCTTCTTTTAATTTCAGTACAACGCGATAGTTCCTGGAAGCAGTGGCGGCGGCGGCGAGTACAATGTTCAGGACGGCTTCGGATGGACGAACGGCGTTGTCTTTGAGTTCCTCCGCCTTTACCCGGACGCCACGTCCTCGGACATCGAATACGACGATGGTAACAACGTTAGCAGATAATACAGATGGACGGATAATGAATCAATTGATAACATATAACTAATTGATCGCGCAAAAGAGCATTACGCGGTTATGTCACTGCTACGTCTACGTAAACACGCAGATAACTGAACGTTTACATAGAAACTGAGCGTTTTATAATGAATCTAGTCTATAACGTAATCCAGGGCAGTCTAAGAAAAAAAAGAAGAAAAAGAAAAGGAGAAGAAACACTCGCTATAGTTTCGTAAATTAAGTTACGCTGGAATTCGTAATTGTTGCAGCCGTACAGCTTGACGTGCCTCTAATCGATGCAAAAGTGTTGTAAGTAAAGAAAGAAAAATAAACAACAAAAAACAATGAGTTATTGCTGTCAGAAAAAAGAGTACTATTGACGGGGAAGCAAACTTTGGGAGAACATTTTCCTATTTCCTCAGTAACTTTTTCAAGATCTCTAAAATAATTTTCGGGATTTCAAATATGAGCCTGCAAAAATGGAATTTTATGGAATTTATTAATAATTATGATGCGTATATGAAAAGCATCAAAACGTATGAAAACCGATACTAGCTTATTAGAAGACCAATATATATTCTTAAACTATGAATTCAATATACTATCTAATTTATTGTGAAGAATATGAGCCTTTAATGTAGATACGATTTTACTCATACGACAGTTCTTTTGATTTGCTCCAATTTCTGAAACTGTCAGATCGATATTAGATAAAAAATTTGTGTTATTTATGCCTTTCATATATCTCTTTTTTCAGGCACTATACTTTATATATATCATATTTCAGGCACTATACTTTTGGTTTGCAAGAAGAAAGACTTTCTATGTTATGTTTCATGAAACGGCCTGTTCTCTGTGAAAACAGGCTCTTCACAATACTGTGCATCACAACCACTTGAATCAGATATCGGATTAATGCGAGTTGAGAGTTTTCTCCGTGACGTTATGGTTGCACTACGGTATGTAACCGTATCGATCTATTTTGTTTAGAGCGCTATGTGCGCTGACTATCTGAAAATTCTATTTTTTTCCTCTCCGAAAACAGTTGGTACTGTCATGGGACGCATAAACGTTGCATTTATGAGCGTAAAATCCGCAATAGATAACTCTGACGGCTATAAAATTCGATATTTTAGTTTATAACTCTGTCGCAATGATTATATATCTGTCATACGATATTATGCAGCGTTATACACGCAAATTACGAGTTATTGATTATTGTGTGGATTTTATAGGTGAATAGTACCATTCCGCGCTCATGGTTACGCCACGTCAAAATAATTGATTTCTCCGTTATATCTGTTTGTTTGCCTCACAATAATTTGGCTAATGCGTTTAATTACTGAACGAACGTGGGTAATACACAAGTATGATTGTTCCGATGTGTGTGAATAATTCCAATCCCTTTCTCTCATGGGAGAAGACGCGTGGATATAGACTCGAGAAAACTAAACATTTCTTAACTTGTCCGAGCAAGAAGTTAAAAAAGAACTGTGCTCCAGACGAGAATAAACCGGGGGAACGTATTTTCATGCAGCGAAAATCGATCTTATTCGCGTTTCGCGTGAGAAGGTAGGAATAACGGAGCAGCGTCCTTTCCATTGTTATCGGTTGACGTTACTCGCTTATTTCGCGACTTATACGTTTACGACATGGCTCATATAGTTTGCAGCACTTTCATTCTGGCTACCTTTAACGCGCGCCGCTCGTAAAACGTGGCGACGTCATCTTCAAGCACTCTGGCTGACATCCGGCTCGTGGATATAATCGTAAGTGGTGCGCGGTATGTCTAGATTAAAACTCGCGTCCCGATTTTACGCCGGGACGTTATTGAATCATTACTATCGCGTTCGGCTATTACAAATGCATTATCGTGTCGGAGCGTAAGAGTAAGTCCATGAGTGTAGCTCCTGATGCACCACATATCGCGTCACTCTGTCAGCTTCAATGCACGAGCACTATATCATTCTTTAATTCGTGATTTCAACATTAATGTGTGTGTGTCGAAAATTAAAAATTGATTCTTCCAATCTTATGATATAAAATCTTATGATGTTTCTTCTTGCTTTCCAGCGGACCTCTGTTTAATTGTTATTAATTTGCACATTTGGTACAACACACATATTGCATGTACACGCTTAAATTTCAGTTTCAAGTTTTATTTTATACGTCAAAAGCTTGCAGCATATATTGCACGCGCTTTTATCGCACTCGCATTACATTCACGCACTTGCAGTCCATTGTAATGCGTACGTTTTTTACGCGACGTATAATCAATTAGACATTTCGCGATAATTTGGTCGAGCAACATAGTAACTCCTGCCCGCCCATCTTTCCCGCCGGCAAGTGCAACGCACTCACCAGCGTTCGATGAAAATCTCGAACGCAATATTCAGCGATATGTAAAACGGCTGCTTCGGTCAGCTGTAATCGGGCGGAAAATCGAAGGCTGCCATGGACAGCTTTTCCGGCGCTATCGGCAAGGTATTCCGTGCAAACGACATTTTTAATCTCCTTCTTAAAGCTCGGCCGACACTGTTATCTATCTCACTACACTTATCGCAGCCACGTCATCGACAGACTGAAGCATCCGGAATCATCTCGCGGATTAAAACCACGTAAAATTTAATTAGCCTCTCGCAGAAGATTAGCGTCTTTTTCTTCCTGCTTTTCCTTTTCTTTTTCCTATATTTTTTACATAGGACGTCCATTAGCATGAAAATATATCCTTAATATATCCCATTATTCTCACTCTAATGCGGTTGATATCAGAGATAATGGAAAAAGTGGATCGCAGGGAAAAACACATTTTGATTATATTTGTAACAAAAAAACATTTATACACTGTTATATATAATTTTTTGTTTGGATTATCCTTCAGTGAGATAATGCTCTGCGGATTGAGAGAATTTATTGTTTCGTTATCGTGTCTTCCGTTTCTCGCCATTGTCGTAGCCCAACTTGAACAAGTCCTTCAAAACGACGTTGAACGTTACGGTGACGACTCCCTCGACTCTCATGCGTGTGACTGTAATATTGCGAAGCACAGAATTTCAAGACAAAGCAGTGACGACGACAGAAAGAAATCTTCGACACGTGAGAGAAATTTGACGAGAGAAAAGTTGTGAATTTCAAAAGTTTCAGTGCTGACAAAACTTCAAAAATTTTTGTACTAAACGTCAACAACAAACTTTTCGATACACGCAACGTTTGTAAATGTGAAAATCCTGAAAGGAATTCGTCGAAAATCCCCCGGAATTTCGACGCATTTTAGTTACAATCTTTGTATCATTAATGTATGAACAAAAGTATTATTTATAAAGGTCACTTAGAAAAAAAGCAATTTAGTTCTATTTCATTGATTTTTTCCACAAGAATTTATAAAGAACCAATCGACTCGAGCTCCACCGTTTTCCCCAACGTGCCCAGATTGTTCAATCACGAGATAATAGCGTTATCTAATTTGATAACTCACGAATATGTCGGTGCTAATGATTATACTCTGTTACGGCTCCAGACGGCTGGATGCAATTAATTTAACGCCAATAACACTAACGAGAAATGTCTCAGCGCGTTTCCTTACGTTCTCTACCGCTACCAGATGCCAATATGGCTGGATCAATTAATTCTGGTCTCCTGCCTGTTAACCATGCCACGATATGCTGCAGAGTAGATGATGATTCCGGCACATAGACCGACACTCTGCAATTTCAAATGACTTTAGCGAGGCATATCTAGTTGATGCGCACTCGATATGCTATCCCAAATGGGATTGATATGTACGAATTGATACAGATGTAGGCTAGAGTTATGATCTAATATGAAATATCGACAGGTTTGGCTTTAGGGCAACCAACAAGGCTGAAGATAAAGTTTTGATGACTCATATCGGATATTTCAAACAAATGGCTTCTTATAAAGTTTATTAAGCACTAATATAAATATTTTCAAACGAAATATTATTGCGAATTTTTCGGCTTAGAAAGACTGTGGCTTAAAGCAAATTTTGAAAAGTTATTTCTGAAGTATATTAATTTGAAAAATTTAATAGAATAATAAAGCATGATCGGTAATTATTAGCTGTCTGCTAATCGGTGAGAAAAAAATACCAGTGAAGAGAAAAAATGAAACAATTTTTTGACGCGTGTAATACATACAGAAAAATATTTTATTATTATGGAGTTTCTTTAATATACAATTCATCTCTGATATTAGATACATTATTTTTTTTCACTTGGCAGAAGAAAGATTGTGCGACAGTTTGTAATATTTCCATAAAATTCATAAAAATGTAATAAAAATCGTTCCGCGGGAATTCTAATCGGATTTACGAAAAGCTGACACGACGCGAATTAAAGAATAATGTTACATATCGTGGGAGATATTTTTCTTCAATGTATGCAATATCTGCGCAACATAAACGGGCAAACATTTACCTTAACTTCTCTCCCTCTCTCTTGTAGTAAATATTTGAAATTTTGCAAAATGTAACATGGTTAAAGAATAATTAAGAAAAAAGAGAAGTAACGTGTGGTTTTAGCATACATAAGGTAAAATATGCTCTTTTATCATACAGTTAATAGTGTGAGCTGTTTAAATAATAATAACATTGATAAGCTCCTACATAGAGAACACATGACGCTTCTAGGCCACCCAGAATTTGGGATTTATTTCACGTCGATTGATCAATGGTCGGACTCGAAGGAGTTTAAGCAAAGGTCAGCACAACAAGAAATAAAAATATTCTATAAATCAATGAATAATGTAGCGTATATACGCCCTCGACCTTTTCTCAGCTGTGACACAATTTTCATTTGGATTATGAAAAACGTAAAATAAATATTTTCTGAAATGACACTGTAACCGAAATGTAGCCGTCACGCAACTCATTTTTGTATATTTTCATGACTAATATAAATTTTTAACTATTACTGTCTCAATTATTCTATAGAAGTGAATATTGTAAATTACCTTAAATTAAATTATAATTTTTCATCCGTTTCAAACTCTACACACTTCTCCTACTCGTACTGTCATGCAAATAATACCTTTTTTCATGATGTCCCGTTTCTAGTGGCAAATGACAAACTCCATATCCTCTAATGACGTCATGGCCGAAAAAGTCCAATCCGTAAATCGACATGATAAGTTGCGGCCCTATAGTACACAACTTATGTTTCATTCTTGACTCATAGATACTTAAAAAATAAATTATATACTGAAAATGTATAATACTACTAATTATAAAAGTAATTATAAATGTAATTATAAATGTTATTATAAAAAGAAGTTAGCATTCAAAATAAAAAAGCTAAATATCTCGAAAACGATAATAATTTATCGATAATAATTAGCTAAATCAGATATATTAAAATCTTTTCTTCGTCTTCTATGAATTCCATTTCTATGAATTCAATTGAGCTTTTATATATAATTTTGAAAATATCTTGTACATATAAGGCATGAAAATATGGTAAAAATATTCACATTTCAAGAGTTTTCACATGTTTTATAATTTGCCTGTATACTCACATCCATGTGGATTTGTACTTTTGAATGTAATATCCAAGGGGAAATTCCAAACGACGAGTTTCCTCGGATCGTCGCTGCACTTACACATCTGTGTCAGACCCTCTTCGATTCCCTACAAAGGAAAATACTATTTTCACAGGACGTGTAGTAACGCCTTTAAGAAATAATAAAACATTTCGAGGATTGACCTATATAATTATACGTCGAGTTTAATTTCCGGGTTTAATAATTATTATTACTTACATTATTTCATTTCATTGAAATTAAAAATATGAAGAAACAGTGTTTTTGCCTTAGAAATAGTTTATTAGATTCAAGCTATAAGAGAAATTCTTCTCTCTCTCTCTCTCTCTCTCTCTCTCTCTCTCTCTCTCTCTCTCTCTCTCTCT